GCCCAGGCGGGTCTTGAACCCGCGAGCTCAGGCAATCCACTCACCTCAGCCTCCCAAGGCATGGGATTACAGGCTGAGCCACCGAGCCCGGTTTATTTTTTCTTTTTTTTGAGTCAGAGTTTCATGCTGTCACCCAGGCTGGAGTGCCGTGGCACACTTGTGGCCACAACCCCAACCTGCTGGGCTCAGGTGATCCTTCCGCCTCAGTCTTCCAAGTAGCTGGAACCACAGGCACATGCAACCACGCCCAGCTAATTTTTTAATTTATTGTAGAGACAAAGTCTCACCACGTTGCCCAGGCTGGTCTTGAACCCCTGGGCTAAGGCAATCCTTTTGCCTCGGCCTCCTAAAGTGCTGGGATTACAGGCGTGAGCCACCACGCCTGGCCAGAAACACCTTTTTCACATGGACAGCCATTATGCTTCTTATAATGTGGCCATGATTGGGAGGCAGCAGGAGAGCTGGGCCGTCTTAGCCCCAAGCACAACTTGGGCCTGTGAGACACTCAACTCATTGCCTGGCCTCACCAGCACCTGCCCAGCCTCAGACAGGGTTTTGCTCACAAGGAAGCAGGCAGATGTCCAGGACATACATGCACGTGTTTTTTCCATCCACACCCTTTTCCTGTCCTGGTCCATCTAGCAGCCTGCTCCTTACGCTTGGACACACAGAGGCTCAGTGAGCTCTTTTCTGTTGTCACCCTAGACAGAGCTAATGGGCTTCTTCTTGGTACCCCTGCAGACATCCGCCACACTCACACAGCTGTGCTGACCCTTGTCTTCCCAACATTCAGAAAACAGGAAGCCCTGTGAGCTTACTGCAGGAGACTGTATATTCTGGCTCTGGTTCCTGGATGCCCCCTAGCGCACAGTAGGTGCACAAGCAAATATCTGAGTGAACGAATGGATGTCACTCTTTGGGGACCAGGTGGAAACACCTAATGCCAAGGCCCCTGTTTGGTCCCATTTGGCTGAAAACTGGTACAGTCTGAGGCCAGTGGAGAGGAAATCTACAACTTGGTCCTTGGCTTCATTACGAACTCGACATCCACGCGGAGACAAGAAATGCTTTATGATGGCAAGACTGGCTTGGAGCAAGCTGAACTCTTTCAGCCCAGACCCGGGATGTGAACACAGATGTCACCCTGTTGTTACAATGGGGGAAGCCAAGGGAGGGCATGTGGGACCCCTCTGTACAACTTCCTGAGTCTTCATTTCAAAATAAAAGGCTAAAATGCTATACAGTGAGGACCCATTAAAATCTTGGGGAAGTAAGCTTCAGTTCCACATGACAGACTCTTGGACAGGGCTGTCTGAAAATGGACATCCAGGACAGGCTTCTGTCCCCGGAGTCCAGCGACTGACCAGTCACAACCCTGAGACTGGGCAGTGTCGAGCAGTGAGGGCCCTGCTCTGTCTGGGCTCAAATCCCAGCCCTAAAACTTGCTTCTCTGATCCCAAACCAGGTTTGTTCACCTCTTTACAAATCTACATTCCTGCATTTAAAAATGCAGATAAAATCCACATGAGACTTTAATGGTGACTGTGAGATTCTCTTTTTAAGTGACCACAACACACAGTGGCAGCTGCACCGTGGCTGGCGGTTCTCTTTTGCCGGGTGGGCACCCTGCTGTCTCCATTCCCTGTGAGATGGAAGCTGGCCTGAAGGCTCTGACCTGCCATTCCAACCCAACTTGGCAGTTGTAAATCACTTCTCAAGTGACAGCCCAGAACTCTCCATCTCAACCCTTTCCAGACCTCACCTGACTTAGGGCACCTAGAAATGGTCTCATTATTTGAATGAAAGCCAAGGCAGTTGCCCTTGAACAAGGTCTAAGGCTTTATTAACAGACGTCAATGAGGCTTTCAGATGTTGGCAGTCATTAGGGTCTGCTGATGAATATGGCTTCAGAAAATAAGAGGAAAGGCATGCACAGGAGGACTGAAGGGTCAGCTCCGGCTTAACCTGCCATGGCACAGACAGACAAAGGGCAAGATCTGTACCACCACCCAGTGAACAAGGGAGCTGAGGACAAAAACATTTTCAGCTTTTCTTTTTTTTTTTTGAGTTGGAGTCTCACTCTGTCGCCCAGACTGGAGTGCAGTAGCCACTCCCAGCCACCGCAGCCTCGACCTGCTGGGCTCCGGTGATCCTTCCACCTCAGCCTTCTGAGTAGCCGGAATTACAGGCATGTGCTACCATGCCTGGCTGATTTTTGATTTATTGTAGAGATGAGGTCTCGCTGCCCAGGCGGGTCTTGAACCCGTGGGCTCAGGCAATCCACTCACCTCAGCCTCCCAAAGCTTTTCTTTTTTGAGTTGGAGTCTCACTCTGTCACCCAGACTGGAGTGCAGTGGCATGCTCCCGGCCACCACAGCCTTGACCTGCTGGGCTCCGGCGATCCTTCCCGCCT